GGTGACCTTGGTTTCATCTGGTTTGATGTAAAGAATGTAAACTGGGGCCCCATTTAGAACAATTTTCCTTTCCTGTGTGCTTACAAATCCCCACGGACAATTTATCTGATCACTTCATAAGTACATTTTTATGCAATGACTTAAGAATAATAACATCTCTGGCTGTTCCTCCCTTGAGGGTCTACTGAGTTCAGTAAGTGTAAATGGGCTGTTAAGAGGCACATATACACAGTAGCTCTGCATACAGGTCTTTCATGTAACGTCACTGGGTCAGAAATGGTATGAAGGCCAAGCTAAAGCTGGTGTGTGATAACACCAGAGCGAGACTTTGTGTCTGCCTGCGAGTTCTTTTGAATGTATGTTACTAAAATATGTTCCTATTCTGAGCAGTCTTTTCTTAGCCACTGGTTCAGCTCCAGAGTGAACCAACAAACAAACCCTTGGCCTCCAGTTTGAGTTCAGCACCAAGTGGGAGCAACTATGGGTCATAGTCAAGACCAAGGATCAAAAGGTTCAGTTCACCCAAAGTACCCCCGAAAAAACATGCTTTTCCCCTTACATCTAACTAGTATCTAGATCTGTACAGTTGCTTGTTGTTGTTTTTGTCCAAGTTTTGAGACATCTATCTCTGAGATTTCTTCCTGCAGCCCAGCAAAGTGGAGACAAATGGAATTTCATTTGTAACGCTCACAGCATTGAAAAATCACATTTAAATAATTCAACAGTCGTGTGCCTTTCCAGCAACAATGTCCTGGTTACTTTGAATAATCCAAAGACCACACAGACAACAGCCTGTTCTCTGGATTACCAGGACTAACCAAACTGCAGCTTTAATTAGGGACTAGAGAGAGTACTATTATATGAAGTTAAAGCAGTGGAACTTAACTTAAATATTAGTCAAGTAGAATCAGGATTAGTATTAATTAACTCTGAGTTAAAGTACATAAGCAGCTCTTCTGAAAACAACTCCAAGTAGCAGGTGCATTTGGCGATGGTGAAAAGGCCGACTGGGAGTTCTGACAGTATTTTAATTAAATTTCATTCCTCTCCAATTTTCTGTTGCTCTTCAACATGGAGACACCCTTTTTAGTTGACAGGAAAGCTTTTTTCCTCCTCACAATTTGCTTAACGAGTGAAAATTGTTTGTGAATGGGGAATCCATTCATCCATTATAAGTTATCATTTAGCGAGGTCGCCCGGGGGCTCTAGATTCAAACACGGGACCTTCTTGCTGTGAGGCATTGGTTACAATACTTGCTGATCTTGGAATATACTAATGAGTAAAAAAAAAAATGACTAAAAGAAAAAATATTAATGAACAAAGATGGATTACCTTGACCCCTAGAGGCTCCAGAAATTCTCAGGTTCACTGCATGTTAATTGGTTTTGGTAATTTGAATAATGGTGATTTTATTAGGGAATTAGCACAACTAAAGTACAATATCAACTAAAGTGGGTCTGGTATTGCTGCCAAAAGTTTTATAGGGGAACTCTGTGTCAAAATCAATATTAATCTAGTTTAAATTGTATTCACACGATGCAATTTCCTAAATAAAGTTGTTTTTAATCAAATTACATAAACTAACCCCCAGAAAATCTAGAGGAAGGCAGATTTTTTCAGGACAGGAGTACTAGTTGGTTTTTAGATCTCTAGGCAAACGATGAAGTGCACCGTGTAATCTCGTGTGTGCACTGTACTTAAAGGAGTAGTTCGATACTTATTCGCTTTCTTGCCAAGAATGAGAGGAGAAGATCAATACCACCTACAGCCGACCTCAAGCTAGCTTAGCTTCGCCTACTGGAAGCAGGGGGCAAACAGCTAGCCTGGCCTAACCTACCACCACCTCTAAAGCTTACTCCATCCGGCCAAGAAAAAGTTCTCCCGTAAAAACCACAACTTCTTGTTTATACACTGAAGTTTTGTACAGATTAAACAAACCATAATGTGTTTATCAGTGAACTTTAGGTGCTCATGGACAGATATTGTTTTACCTTTAGACAGAGCCAGGCTAGCTGTTTCCCCGTTTCCAGTCTTTATGCTAAACTAATCTAAAATATCAAACTTTTCCTTTAATGGAAACAGAGGTGCAAGGATACACAGATTGCACATAAGGCAGAGCAACATTGTTTGCCCAAGGGCCCTCTAACAGGTTGATCCAGCCACCATGAGGAGAGTAATTGTAAACAAATGTTATCCACTGCTGATAAAAAATTATACAAAGCAATCTAAAGAAAGTGCATAGTGGGATTGTTGTGTGATTGTTCTTTGTTGTTGGGGTTATTAGTCTGACCCAGTTCAAACCTAGTCCATCATGTATTATCGAGAGCACACTGAACACTAAAAGCACTTGAATTAAAACAGACAAGAGAGGACAGATTTACCCAATCAGGTTTTTTATTTGGAACAGAGTGGCAGATTAGTGACAGGGCGGTGGCATGGAGGATCCGCCTCCTCTCGCTCACTCAGCCAATGACAGAAACTCAGCCTTAAAAAAATGCAAATGTATAAAAACAGGAATGGGAACAGCAAACATAGAGTAGTGTAGCCTCCATCAGGCTTCACACATACACACGCACACGCACACACACACACACACCTACACTCATACACGTACAAATTCACCCTCTCACACACACGTCTTATTTGGCTACGCAGGCTTAGATGGGTACAAACACACGTTTACACTTCGACAGTCACTTTAGAAAAGATAGTACGTGTTAAGATCATTCCTGCCTGTGAGAAAGTGGCGTGCTGTCTGTCCGTCTGTCCTTTGCGGCAGAGAGACAGACAGGCAGACAGACAGTGAAAAGACAGTCAGTGTGTGTGAAAGCCACTGTGAGGGACCAGCTGCCCCTCATTCAGCAGTGAACAGACTAAACACACGCAGACACACACACACACGTCGACAGGCTAGTCAGTGTACACAAGAGTCTGCTGTGAAATACCAAGGTGAAGCACTCACGCACACACATACAGGTGGTGGTTTTAGATGAGGTGTAGACACACACACACACACACTGGCGAGGGGGCAGGCGACGTACACACACAGGAGTGGAAGAGGTGTGTTACCTGTCTGTGGAAGAGCGTGAGAACTGCTGGAGTAGGTAAACACACACTCGACCACAGTACATTCCAACTTTAACTCACCCCTCTGTCTCTTTCAAACACACAAAGACACACACAGGCATCCACACACACCCAGACTAGTATAGTTTTGACTCCCATGCATTTTTGTTCTACAGTACTGAGTATAATAGAAGCTACTAGCCCAGTCACACTGGTGTGGTTATTGTTACAATCTCTTAGATAGAAGCACAGCCCTACTGTCTCCTCACATTCCCCCTCCCAAACCGAATCCTAACCCCTCTTCCCCCCGTTGTCCCCGCCCCAAAAAAAGATTCCAACAGCAGGTTGAAGTTGAACCCATAAACGCTAATTCAAAGTCCGTTTCTTCTCCTAATCAAAGCTTTAATGACAAAAGTTGTGATTTAGACTGAATTAGTGCATGTGGGCACAACTTCCTGCGCGGATTCACACATTTTCATTAAAGCCCCCGCTCGCTTCACAGAGGCCCCTCCCATCCCCAAACAGAGAGCCAATGGTGGAAGAAAAAGAAAGTGAGGCATGCAAAAGGTGTGTGTGCGGGATGACGTGATGACTGGACACGTAGTTGTGCTTTTACACAAACAGACCAAACTCTAAGCCAACCGGCAACTGATCCATAACTAATCAATAACATATTGAAACCATCTGATCTCACTCGTATCACGAGCGATGACTATCACAATGACGATGATGATAATGACGATGACGGGTTTGATATGTGTTTGAATGATTTACAGTATATTTAAAGTCTGTGTGGTGTATCTAAATGCACAGCAAGTTTATATGTCTGCACGTGTGTGTGTGTAAGTGTGTGTGTGCGCACATGTGGCTGACGAGAGCACAGCTCATCTAAAGTGATGATGGATGTGATGAATAAAAACTCTTCATGATCATGCAGATGGTTAGTGATGCCAGAAAGGATACGCTGATATTTACATATAAACTTTTTTTTTTAAACTGCTAAATACACATCCTCCTGTTTAAGTATTATTATTATCATTATTATTATTATTATTATTATTCACCATCCACCCAAAAACATTGAACTGATTATATTATTGGTTAATTAATTACTATCCGTAACTAGTCTTTTGTACAGCTTAGAGAAGCAGACGGACCAGCCTTTTGTTTCCACAAGCGGCTCCTCGACGTTGTGAAACACGCAAGGGTTTGATCACCGTTTTCTGTTGGCCGAGCACAGATGGAGGAGGAGGTCAGAGCACCGTCGGGGACAGATACAAGTCTGTGTGTTTGCATGTGCATGTGTGTAAGCATGGTGTTTATTGTGGCAGTTATGATGTGTGTATGTGGTCTTTGAGCAACCAGGAGGGGATGGAAAAGGCACAAAAGAGACCTTTCCTCTCACCTTATTGACCCTGGGGCTCTGTGCGGCCAAACCAGACGCTCGTGTTGTTTTATTTATGGAGGGGGGGGGGGGGCGAGGGGCCGAGTCGAGCCACCCCTGGTCTGTTTCTTTGGTGTCTCGCTCAGGCTCACCTCCGCCCCTCTCCTCTCCTCTTTTCTTTTTTAGCCTTTGCATTCGCTCCATAAAACAGAGGAGGGAACTTTTTTTTGTGTAGGAAAACACAGGGTTGAGAGCTTGTGGTTTCTTGTGTTTTGTTTTGTTGTTTTTTACAAAATAATCATATCATTACATACAGAACAAGAGAATCTGTAGAATATTAATAACAACATTTACTTTAAAAACATCTTGTGTGTATGTGTTATTTTTTTTTCAGAATATATTTGGAATTTTTTTTTTCTTTTTCTTTTTTTGTCCTTCTTTTTCGTTTTCATTGAAAAGAAAGGTTCCAAGTCCGCAGATGAGAAAGGCGGGCTCTCGTGTGTTTTGGATGACGAGGTTTGAGGAGAGAGGGATGAGGAGAGTGCGAGCAGATGAGGGGAAGCGACGGAAGAAGATTTGGGAGGAGGGGGAGGGGCTTAGAGTATCTTTCTCTCTTCTCTCTCTCGCTCTTTCTCTCTCCCTCGGTGTGCGGTGCGTCTCTCTGGCATAATAGTGTTATGCATAAAACTCCTCCTGCTTGTCTGGTTTCTGGTAGGTGACGGTGGCCTGTTTGGGTTCCTCCAGCGTGTAGCTGCCTTCGTCCTTCTTCTTCATCCTGTACACCAGCAGCATCACCAGGAAGGCGGCAAACAAGGCGCCCACCACTCCTCCCACTATCACCGCTGTAGAAAGACATGAAGAGAGGGTGGATAATCTTAAAAAAACTTTCCAGAACATTACAGATCAGATCCTACAAACACTCACACACATACACATGAACAAATGCTAAAATACAATGGGAGTCACGGTTACATCCTGCAGCTGACTACATCACTACACACAACACACGCTGCTGCAAACACTCCATGTCAGAGAGCAGAGCATAGCTACAGCATCACTATCAGCTAGCTGCTAAGTGAAGACTGATGAGCCTGGATGTGCCAACCTACGTTACGTGTTGCCAACAGCTTAGTGCTAAATTGCAGCCCTGCAGTGCTACATAGTAGTGTAGCCCTGTGGTGTTGGTGTAACCAATCTGCAGCTGCTGCACTTTCTTCTGCACACATCGCTTAATGAACTCTTGCTGTGTGCGATAGATTAATGTGTGGTTATCAAATGGGGGGGAACAAAAACTTTCCCTCGTTAAACTAATTGGTATTGACGCCAAAACGGAGAACAAACTGTTTATTTTCCAAAATGCTTGAGGAACACTTTGTTTCCATTCATTGTGTGGGAGGTGTTTACTTTGTTTAATACATTACTGCCAATGTCAGAGTGCACAGGCTTTAAATAATAGAACTTTTCACCATGCTCTGTCACTGCACAAATATCCACCACTCTTGACTTTTCACGCCATTTCTTGTAATTAAATCTTATAAAACATTTTAATTAGATTTCTTTTTGTCAGATCATGCAGTTTTTGTGTTATAGTGTGCATAAATATACTTTCACCATCCATGATCTTACTCTGGAAGACAATTGTGATATTGGGCATAAAAAAAAATTAATTGCACCCTTTTAAATGCACCATTTCCAGTTTCTCATAAAAAAAGATATGATAAACTACTTTTCCTTGAATCTGTAATATCAGATCTTTATTACTGTCACTGACTAAGAGAAAGCTTTTTAACCGCTGTGCCTCAGTGTAACCTTGCAGAGCCGCTAGCAAGGCTGTAGACTCTTTGTCTTGTTAAAATATTGACGCCTATACTGTGAAACACTGTACAGATTTAGGGGGTAAAGGGCAGAATTGCAATAGTTTTTGATGAAAAACAATATGAAAGAAATAACTGAAATATCTGAATGGGGCAAATGGAAATGTTATTGTTTTATTTATCTAAACTTTAAACAAAATGACCTAATTTCTATTTAACTTTATTAATTTTCAGTGTGAAAAGTCAAAGATGGTAAATACGTGCAAATCACTGCATGTCCCATGTTCTCACAAAGATGAAAGTGAATACAGTGCCTATATACAGGATTATATATGAATGTATGAACCTGACATGTACTGTTGTAACTTGATCCCATTATACAGTCTAGTCTAAAGTCTGTTGCCTCCTGCTCTTTACCAATGACCAGGAAATCAGCGAAAACCACCGCCAGCAGTCCACCAATCAGAACAGCTGAAGGAGAGACAGAGAGCCAGTCAGGTCAGGCAAGTTGGCTGCTGCCTCACTTTCTACAACAGCTCTTTGGGATGAGGAGAGGGGAGCACTTGAAAAGAAATTGGATTTGCCCAGAGGGAAAATGATGAGAAAAAGAGGGGAGAAAGGAGGGGTTGGATAACCCAAGAAGAGGATTGCTTGTTCTCAACGGGTCAAACGGGGCTAAGTAGCACATTCACTTATCGTGATCAATCTGCACTACGTGAACATGAGTTACTGCCAGTTTATCTTAGCAGCTCCCAGTAAGCAAGGAAAGAACACAGGAGGCAACGGGGAAATGTAATCCGTCGATCTAAGAGGTGACTACCAAGCAGTTTATTTGAAACGAAGACAGAGTGACAGACACAGAACTTGACGACCAGGACAAATATTTGGACACATGTTCCTACCTATCAAGACCTCTTTCCTCTCCAGGATGTTTTTCTGCGGCAGCTGGGCGGCAGAGCTTCCTCCGTCCACCGTGTTGCCAATCAGATCGGGATCCACTGGCATTATTCCTCGACCGAGATCGTTACGGCGATCATCGCGGATCTCAAAATCTCCACTTGGCCCTGCAGCACCCACGTCGTTACCCTCCTGAGACAGAGAGAGAAAAGTGAGACTAACAACAGGAAATGTACATCTGATGTAATCACATTTGTTCCATGGAGCTACTACACTGAAACGTATCCAAACTAGCACAAACAGAGAACTTTCCATGGCACATGTTCACTTTTGAAACAATGAGCCTCTGTATGTTCTGATTGGTGGAAAGTTGCATATTGTCCAACACATATACACAGTTCATAAAATCTGGCAGCTTAATTACAATGTGGAAAACCAGACAAATCTCAATGCATCATGCGTTAATGCAGCACTGCTGCAAATAAACAGAAGCACATCAATCAGAGAAACGACTCTGGTCTGTAAATAATTAAGCTATCAGTGTTAAAGAGGCAGTCAAAAGAGGGGCTTGGTATCAAACCTCAATAGTTTATGGGTACTGACCAAAATGAGTCCATTAGTACAGAGCAGCGAAAAAGCTACTGTGTGAATCCGTATTCACTTATTCTTTGGTCAGATAGTTCCTGATTTAAATAATTTGCCAATTTTAGACTGGATTTTAGAGAGTAGTCTGTGTGGCAGCATTTTTCTTATTATCCACAAATCTCACAAACATTCTGTGCAATAGAGCTTTTATTGTCTGAAAACACATGACATGTAGTTCATCATATATATCTTATATATCCAATCTTATATAATCTGTAGCTGAAAAAGTTCCCAACATACACTATTTATTTCTGTTTCTTTTGTGAAAGAAATAGTTTGATATTTTGGGAAATATACACAATTGTTTTTGTCTGAGGGTGAGACAAGAAGATTCATACCACTCTCGTCTGTAAGTTAAAGTATGGAGCAGGGGAGTGGAGGTAATTAGCCTAGCTTAGCATAAAGACTGGCAACAAAGGGAAACAGCTAGCCTGGCTCTGTATGAAAATGAAAATAAAACACTCACCACCAACTCTGAAGCTCACTAATTAACATGCTTTATCCTGTTTGTTTAATCCATACACAAACTGTAATGTAACAGTTTGATGTTTCAGGGGGAGTTATGTGCTGTAAATATTTCTTGGCAAACAACATCTTGGCACAGTGACTTCCCAGAATCCTTTCATCGCTGTGACTTTGCCAGGTTGGTTGCCTGGATGGATGTTGTTCATCAAGAAATAGTTGCACCGTGTAACTCCCTCTAGAACCCACAGATTTTTACGTAACCATGAGTCTACGCTCCCCTATGGGACAAAGTTAAATTGTCACTTCCTACTCCCTGCTGTGTTGAGTTTGGTGTTTTCTTTTGGGGTTGATGCGCTCAGACCTACATGATGCTAATCTTCTTATTCTATATGAACATAATTATGTCAAACTAATATCTTTAACCTTACCTGTGAAGTTGTGGGCTGCTGAGAGCGAGTTCTCTCTGTTGGCACCGCCTGAGTGGCTGTCGTCATGGGAACCCTGGGCCTGAATGGGATCCTGGTCTTGATAGTGGTGGCAGTGGTGGCAGTGGTGGTGGTGGTGGGTGCAGCCGTTGTGGGCTCAGGGGTGGTCTCTGCTGTGGTGGACATGTCTTCCTCTGTGGTGATCTCTATGTCGAAGCCTGGGTAAAACGATGTGGGTTCAGGTGACAGGTAGACATCCTCTTCTTCTTCTGTGGTGCTCAGGTCATCCGAACCGGCAGAGGGTGCTGCACTTTCCGCAGTGCTGATTGCCGGGTTGGTGGTCACCACTGGGATGGCAGCAGGGGATCGTGGGGCGGCGGTGGTCTGGGCTGCGGCCCTGATTCGCTCCAGCTCTCTCTCTCTTTCAAGCTCCCGCTCTCTCTGCCTCTCTCTCTCTTTCTCTCTCTCTCTCTCACGTTCCCTCTCTCGCTCCCGCTCTCTCTCCCTCTCCCTCTCTCTCTCCATCTCCCGGACCCGCTCCCTCTCTCTTTCCCTCTCTTGCTCCCTCTCCAACTGTCTCTCCCTCTCTCTCTCCCTCTCCAGTTCCCTCTGCCTCTCTTGCTCTCTCTCTCTCTCCAGCTCTTCCTCCCTCTCTCTCTCCTTCTCCAGCTCTCTCTCTCTTTCCCAGAACACGCCGCTCTCTCCATCAGCCTCGGTGGGCAGCGGGGTGGCGGTGGGGTCCTCCGGGTTGGGGCTCGGCTCAGCCGCAGGTGAGGCAGAGGGGGCGGGGCCGGTGGCCTGGGTGGTGGAGAGGAGGAGGGGCTCTTCTGTGGTGAATGACACACCCACCGATGTCGGCCTCATTCTGATCTCTGGGACTGGAGGGGAGAGAATTTTTAATTTAAAAATGACTTGATTAAACAACAACAAGCAGAGGAGTCAAAGAATTAAAACATGTACACATCTCACTCAATCACACATTCCGTTCATCACTCACCCCACCCGCCCACACACTCACACACAAACAGTAAATCAGACACTGTGGCTGAAATCAATCCCTTATTCACTACTCTCTATATAATAAACACTCAATAATTGACTCTCCATTCTGCAGTAAATTGAGATTTCAGACACCTATATGTCACTGTCATTTTGCATCATCACTAACTAAGGTGTAGTGTTGCACAACTTTTTAAATCTATAAAATTTGATGCATTAAACTGTGGGACTGAAAGTAATCCATGGACACTATTATGTTGTTTCATTGTGGGGATCTTCATGCATTAATTTCCCATTGTAGATATATAATAGGGTTTTTAAAGATTCTTTTTTTGGCATTCTTGCCTTTATTTGACACATCCTAGGCTGGATTCAAACCATGTTACGGTTACATGGTAAAAATGTCACATAGACCACTAGTCTTCCATGATGGCTTTAAACCGGCTTAATTTGAAAATGCTTCATTTTCACTCTGGTTTGGACTTTTATCTACACAAAACCAGCATTGTTCTCACCAGAAAATGGAGCTTGTGAAAATAGCTCTCCATAGTGGATGAATACGAAAACACCGATCTCATGTTTTAGTGTGAAAACTCTTGGAGCTTTTGGAAAACAATGATGTAAGCCTGGTTGGGGCTGTGTAGTAGTCAAGCACTTCAGTATTGCACTTCCACAGGGTTGGGGGACTCATGATGCACAGATTAAAAAAAGGAATGGTCAAAATCTGTAAAGCAGCAGCCGAGTTTCTGTTCTCTCTGTCCTCTATACTCATTTTAGGCCAATCAGACAGCACAGCTATGTTTGGATTGTCAAATGACTTCAGGGTCATAAAGTAGTGATTTTATTGACGACTCAGCGCAGCAATTAGAGCTGTAATCAAATCGCTATTTTCTGCTTGTTTAACTGTCTGACAACAGAAAAATATGTAAATGAGGACAACTCCAGTAATTGTGAATTCAGCTGTATAACTTAAACATGTTAAACGATGTTGGCTGTGATGTTGTAGGCCGACTGAAGATGGAAGAGAAGAGATTTTCCTTTTTCTGGACTTTGTTTTCGTGTTAAAGGGTGGATGGAGATTTTTTATGAAAATGACTTTAAAAAGCTGTGGTGGATGCACGTAAACAGCATTTTCAAATACAAGAGAAGAGAAGAAAAGAGACAACGGTGCTGACTGATTCATTTTTTTTCTTAAATCTCATAATAGTATTATACCACCTTTCATTTTGTTATAGCAGTGAAGCTCCCTGGGTTGAAAGAGAAACAAATTGAATTTACAGGCACAAAGACGTAAAGGCTGACAGAGGAGCTGGAAAGGATATCAAAATGTGAACTCGAACAATGCAGCTTCTGTTAAACTTATCAGAAGCCTCAAAATGCCACATTCTGAAGCAGCAGCAGCGCAAAATGCACATTTGTCTGCTGAAAATGAGCTTTTCCTTTGGAATCAGACAGCTCTGTATCACGATTTGAGATAAAGCAATTTGCCGGGCTGCTGTTCCAACCACAGGGGGTGCCCCTGCTGCACTCTCCTGCTCTGAGTTGTAATTTATTTTGAGTGTGCTCTCCACTAGCGCAGTGTCTGAACCGAGGGCAGCCCTCAATGAGTCATGCTTAATAAGGAGAGCTATGCTCAAGCTTCAGCAGCTAGATCAGAAAATCAGCCTGAAGTACACCAACGTGATTTACGTTAAGTAGGTAATTCCTACACATGCAGACAGCCAGCTCACTCAAACGCAGACAGACGTTTGCAGATAGGTGCACACACAACTGCTGGCGTGGCGTGTGATTGCCTAATCTGTGTGGACGGTAATCTGATTAGAGTAAATAAGATCTGGGGGAATCGAGCCCTGGTTGCTGCTTGTTTGCGAGGGTGTGTCTGTGTTTAAAGGTGTTTCCAATAAATCTGTATCCAAAACTGTCCGTCGAGCCAAGTGGTTTGTATTGTGTAATTGTGTGTGCCTTTGTGTGTGTGAGTCTGGTGCCCAGAGGGGCCATAACTCCGGGACAGGGAGGAAGGGGGACGGGGTCTTCAGGGTCAGCAGATTGAAACCAAGCAGCTGTCGTGTTTTGAAAGAACCAGGCCGTGAGTGTGTAACCTCTCACACACTGAAACACAAACACACACACACACACACACACTTACAGCCGGAGCCGGAGCCTGAGTAGAGGTCCTCATCGTCGTAGAACTCATCTCTCGTTGAGCCTTCGTCGTCGATAGACGGTGACCAAGTCTGTCCCTGAGGGAGACACAGAGAGCGGGGGATACAGATGACAGAGATTAGAGTTATTCATCATGAATGACTGAGCCGTTTGTCATTTCATTTAAAAGAGGAACCACTTTGGCAGATTACATGCACACACAGACATGCACACAACTGTCTGAGAGGAGGCACAGGCAGCATTATGGTGGACAGGGTAACATCTGTCCGTCTGTGACTCTATGGAGGAGCATAGTTAATGAGTTGATCTAAAGCCGGGATTTTGGCAGCAGAACATCAAAGCCTTTAAAGAGAGAGGGGTTTCATTCAGTCTCTGCTTACGTGTCAGTCACAAGTGATGCTCAGCTTGTAAAGTAGCAGAGTATGAAGAAACCAGTTAACTTTTGAACTCAGGCTGCCACTCACAATAGTTTCCATTGTCAGTTAATCTGTGTATTTTTGATTTATTAATTCATTGAAAATAATGAAAGATTTTCATTATACACTCCCAAAGCCAAAGGTGACGTCTTCAGATGAAGGATATTCAGTTTTCAATTATATAAAACAGAGAAAAACACCAAATCCTCACACTTGAGAAGCTTGAACAAGATCTATAAAAAAAAGTCTGCAGCCATGCTAGCAGCTCTGTGAGGCTGTACTGTAGACACAGCCTTGAGCTAAATGCTAACGATAGCTCTAAACACAAAGTCCTGATGGAAACCTCATTAGTTTGCAGGTATTTGGTCATAAACCAATGTTTTGGGCAAATAAAAAATTTGAGCACTAGATGGAAAGTTAAAGAGTTAGAGAATCACCAAAGTTTTTACAATTTATCCTGGGAGAAACAGGAGTGTGTGTGCCAAATTTAATGGCAATCCATCCAGTTGTTGTTGAGACATTTCACTGAAACCTGTAATTCACTAGATGAAAAATCAGGGGATCGCCAGAGTCAGTACAGTCTCATCTCTCTAAGCACTATGAATATCTGTGCCAAATTTCATGGCAGTCCATCCAATAGTTGGAGCTAGTGTGGCTAAACACATCTGTCACAACCCTTCAAAACCCAAAGCCAAAAGATTCTCAGTTCACTGAGCAAATCCTCAAATGTTTAGCCTTTTAAATGACTTTAAGGACCAGTGTGTAGGATTTAGTGGGTTCTAGAGGGGTAGTTACAGATTGCAAATCCCTTGCTTCACTCTCCCCTTCAAAGCATGAAGGAGAAACTATAGAAGCAGCGAAACAATAAAAAGAATGTTCAACATCCCTATCTAAAGAGCCAGTGTTTGGTTTGTCCATTCTTGGCTACTGTAGAAACATGGCGGACTGCATGACGGACTCCCTGCAGCTTCTGTAGATATAAAAAGCTCATTCTTAAGTGACAAATACACAATATCTCTTATTCGGGTGATTATACACTAATGAAAACATAGTTATTACTATTATATTCAATACCTGCTGCGAATAGATCCTCCTAAATGTTACACACTGACACTTTAAAAAGTTTATGATCAATATTGTTGTTGGTAAATCATTTCAGTGCTATTTTGAACCCCCTGTGTGAATAAAAATCACCATCTCTTTTGAATAACTACAATTTTACAGCTGCTCTATGAAGGCTCTGTGCCTGTAATATGCCTGTAATATCTCTCTCATGGGTCATTTCACAGTATCCTCCCTGCCCATCACTGCACCTTAATCCGGACCTATTTTGTCTACGCCTGTGAGGGGAAAGCGCAAGCTTGCCTAGCAACCTCTGTCAGGGTCAGGTAAGAGAGACTAGTCGTGGATTGTTCAGGGTTTCAACCTCTGAAGTGAATGACCTCAGTGTCCGGTCACTTTGAGGTTGATCCCTCCTCTCTCTTCATTCATTCTCTCATTTCTCTCTCTCTTGACCTCAATCCCACATCTCTGTGATGTTTAAACACCCACTTAAGCACTCACCCACCAAACAGGGTCAGCTAATACTGCTATCAAATGCATGCACTTAAGAGACACCGCCCCTATTGCAGTACAAAGATACATTTCAAGCTACATCACAAAGCGTACTCAAAGAGTAACCGTACGAGCCTATTGTGGCCTTTCAAACATTCACATTTACAAATACACACAAAACGCACTGTGTACTGATTTCAACCAATAGCTTAAATTTTGTTCTGCCATGTTGTCAGTACAGAAATACATTTACTCAAGTACTGAACTACACAAATAAAGTACATCAAACTTGTACAGAGTGCAGTACTTGAGTAAACTTGATCTACATTATAGATGAAACTGCCAAACAGTAAGTACTAATACCAAATTATCTCCACCTCTACTAGTTTAGCCAATATTTTTTATATATGCAGTAAGCTTATCATATTATAACACCAAGCATTCTGCATAATGAATACTTTTAATTTTGACACTTTATAGCTGCATGAATATTTCTTTTTTTGTCCACTTGGGCAGAACAAGCTATAAACACAACACATTATAAAGCTGATAGGTGAACTTGTTAGCCAACAGTTGTTTATTTCCACATCCAGCAGTCTCACAGCAACATTAGCATTCATTAGGAGTGGTGTTTCTGTCCACCTGATGAATGGAAGTCCAATATTCACTCTCCTTCATTTCATTGTTTTCAGTCTCCAGTAATTCTTAAAACTGCTGAATGCTCCACTCTGTTCACCAGCTAGACTCTAGCTTTGTCTGCCTGCTGTGTGGTGCTGATCAGGTAGTGTACAGTGGGTTTATCAGAGCTTTTTGTTGCTGAAAACAGCTGCCTGCTGTGGCTGGAAACAAAAACAGTAAAATTGTGGGCTGGAAAACCAAAACAATGAGTTGAAAGAGTCGGATGATCATTTTTTGTGGGCTCATCACTAGGTGTGACTCCGTTCACGTAGAAGTAATGTTGTTAATATATAATATTAATAAGAGCAGCTTTAATAATATTTACTTCTGTACTTTCACATAGAGATCCCCTCCAGACATGTGTTTAGAAAAATAGTATGCTTAACAAGAAAGGTTATATCATATCTGATGTCAGCAAATTTCTGACACAAGATGTCTCCTACTTCACTGTAAAGTCCATTTTCAGTGGATGTGCACGCTTACATAAGTTGCACTTATTTATTTAAGTAAAGGAGCTGAAAACTTCTTCCATCACTGCATTTTGTACCTAGATTCAGCTCGATACACACTAAGTAGTACAATGTTTTAAAGCCAAGAACAAAGGGCTCAGTTTTGCTGCAGGTATTGGAAAACAGTCAGTCCACTGCTGAAAATGTGACCAAAACAAACTTATCTCCTCAGCAATCTTAAGTCCATCCTCGGGCCCTGTAGAGCTGTGTCTTTGCTAGCCTGTGTGACACTAATTGCACACACACACACACACACACACACACACACACAAAGAAGCAGAAGCTCCTCCCCGGCTCCAGACAGAGGAAACCTGATGCCTCTAAAAGCCAATAAAAGCATAATGGAATCTAGAAACCCGAGCATCTCAGTCCATCACATCTCAGCATGAGGTGGAGCTGAAACGCTATATGTACCTCCTGAAAATGAAATTGACTTGAAGTCGTTCGGGGCCTCAACTCACCGAGGTTATGGGCTTCACAAAGTGGAGAGATGAGAGAGTGTGTGTGTGTGTGTGTTCTTCACGCTTCCAGGAACGTGTGTGTGAAGGCCTGGTGATCTCAAACCCTGAAAGTGTTGAAAAGTACTAAAAAGACGTTTTAGTGCAGGCATGGTGTGAGTGTGTGCATGTGTGTGTGTGTGTATTCCAAGGATCAGTTTTACAATAAGGGCCGTTGCTATGGGCAACCTTTGCCTTTCACAGAAATTCCCGTCTCCTAGTGAGAAGCTACCAGACACACACACACTCTCTCACACACATATAAGAGCTCTAACTACATAAGCAAAGGTGTTATGTAACGTCAAATAAACAACCCTAAAAAACCAACATCAAAAAAGTCTGCTCCTCCGGGCTCCCCCCTTCTATCCGTCCCACCCCTTCAGCCCCCCTTC